ACCATGATTCAAAGGCATCAATTCTTCTTTGGTCTTCCTTACTCATTGTCCAGCTTTCACATACATATGTGGTGATTTGAAAATATAATAGTTTGGGTCGGCTCACCTTAGTCCCCAAAATGACATCTTTGTTCTTGAACACTTTAAAGAGGTCTTTTGCAGCAGATTTGCCAAATGCAATATATCATTTGATTTTTTTGACTGCTGCTTCCATGGGTGTTGATTGTGGATGCAAGTAAAATGAAATCTTTGACTTCAGTATTTTTCTGTTTATCATGATGTTGCTTAATGGTCCAGTTGGGAGAATTTTTGTTTTCTTTATGTTAAGGTATAATTCATACTGATGGTTGTATGTAGTCTTTGATCTCCATCAGTAATTGCTTCAAGTCCTTTTTGCTTTCAGCAAGCATGGTTGTGTCATCTGCATATTGTTGTTGTTGTTAGGTGCCGCCGAGTCATCTCCAATTCATAGTGATCGTATGCACAGAAGAACGCCCAGTCCCACGCCAGCTCCACGATCCTTGCTGTACTTGAGCCCATTGCCACATCCACTGTGTCAATCCATCTTGTTGAGGGCCTTCCCCTCTTCCGTTGACCCTCCACCTTACCATGTGTGACATCCTTCTCCAGGGAATGGTCCCTTCTGATAACATGACCAAAATAGGTGAGACAAAGTCTGGCCATTCTCACTTCCAAGGAGCATTCCAGCTGCACTCTGCCAGGACAGATTTGTTAGTTCTTTCAGCAGTCCATGGTACTTTCAGCATTTTTCGCCAGCACCACAACTCAAATGCATCAATTATTCTTTGGTCTTCCTTATTCGTCGTCCAGCTCTCACATGCATATGAGGCGATTGAAAATATCATGGCTTGTGTCAGGTGTACCTTAGTCCTCAAGGAGACATCTTTGTTCCTCAGGACTTGAAAGAGGTCCTTGGCAGCCAACTTGCCCAGTGCTACACGTCATCTGATGTCTTGACTGCTGCTTCCATTGGCGTCGATTTTAGAACCAAGCAATGTGAAGTCTTTGACAACTTCAATCTTTTCTCCATTTATTGTGATGCTTATAGGTCCAGTTCTGAGGATTTTTGTTTTCTTTATATTGAGATATAATCCATACTGCAGACTGTATTCTAATCTTCATCAGTAAGTGCTTCAAGTCATCCTCACTTTCAGCAAGCAAAGTTGTGTTGTCAGGGTATC